AGAGGTCGAAAGAAAAGCCATCAGGAGTACGTTCCACGCATCCTGAGATAAATTCCAAACATGCTGAAATCGTGTGAGGAAAGGAACACTACAACCACGCTGAAATCGTGAGAAGAGGTCGAAAGAAAAGCCATCAGGAGTACGTTCCACGCATCCTGAGATAAATTCCAAACATGCTGAAATCGTGTGAGGAAAGGAACACTACAACCACGCTGAAATCGTGAGAAGAGGTCGAAAGAAAAGCCATCAGGAGTACGTTCCACGCATCCTGAGATAAATTCCAAACATGCTGAAATCGTGTGAGGAAAGGAACACTACAACCACGCTGAAATCGTGAGAAGAGGTCGAAAGAAAAGCCATCAGGAGTACGTTCCACGCATCCTGAGATAAATTCCAAACATGCTGAAATCGTGTGAGGAAAGGAACACTACAACCACGCTGAAATCGTGAGAAGAGGTCGAAAGAAAAGCCATCAGGAGTACGTTCCACGCATCCTGAGATAAATTCCAAACACGCTGAAATCGTATAAGGAAAAGGACACTCTAACCACGTTGAAATCGTGAGAAGAGGTCCAAGAAAAGCTATCTGGAGCGCATTCCATGCATCTTGAAATAAATTCCAAACACGCTGAAATTGGAAAATTATTCTATTTTTCCAAAACTGGACCATATCTTGGACCCAAAAAAGGAAAATTTTCAATGCTCATAACCTGACTTGCATGATTTCAAAAAGTCGAATAAGCATGTTAACCTAATTCTCATATTGGTCAAAATTGTTTTAGCAGAAAGCCAAAATCAAAAAATGGCCAAAATAATGAACTAGGGGCACCGTTGAGTCAGGTTTTCTATCTTTTCCCTGTTATTAATGCACTTGCCAGAAAAGGGCACAATTGAAGCTAACAACAGAGGCTAAAAGACTTTCTCATCCTCCAAAGTAGCGAGGTATCAAGCCAAGTGCGAAGCACAAGCTGGAATGGAACAGGATATTTCACTTCCTCATCTAGACAAGTCTGATCACATCCAAGCTGGCCAGGGGCGTCGCTAACCGATGTGAGTTGCAGATTTGCTCCAGTCACACCACAACCCCTCTGTGGGAAAGCTCACTAGTTGTGAGCGAAAGAAAGAGAATTTAGCAGAATACCAAGGGCAAGAGCCCACGACTTCCTGCTTATCCATCAACTACCCAGGGAAGGGATAAAAAATAAGAGAGATTAAAGAATAGAGAGATGTGCGTTGAGAGAAAAGGTGAGGAAAGGGCTTTTTAGAGAAAAAAGAGATTGAGTGCCAAAGTGATGTGAGAATCACGAATAAGAAAGGATGGGAAACAATACCTAGAGAAACTGGCTCCTCGTGAACTGAGAGGTCTCTCACCATTGGAATACATTCGAGTGTTGTGTTTGTTGTTTTTGTTTGTCTCGATTCTTGTTTTGAATCGTTTCGAGTGTCAATAGATGTGTTTAGGTTATTTTACCTTTGTTTTCCTTTGTTGAGTCGTTTTGACTGTGGTTGGTCATAGGCTCAACACCCGGCTAAGAACTCGTTTCTCAATTTCAATTTCAAAAATAAATCGTTTTGTGCTCAGAGTGCCGTGCCATTCTTAATAGATGTGCAAAACAGGATTCTTTCTTTCATAAGACTGTAGGGTTCAACCCAAGTCATGTGTGAACAATAGAACATGGACCTATCTGAAGCTACATGGGTTCCAGACTACAAAGCAAAAGAAAAGAGGGAAAATGTAGGGCATCTGAGTTTCTTTCAACTTCAGAAAGTTTTGAGATTGCATTCCGAGTGTACCTCCTTCGGTCTTATCAATGCTCCGAAGTATGAGTGTACCTCTACCTTAAGCTCAAGCACAAGCTCAACCCTGCTTCAAGCCAGAATGGCGATCAGAAGTGCTTTCCCTGAGTTCCATTCCCTGCTAGAGGCATCTTGGCTGTGTTTACAATGAGTTCCTAGGAGACCAACTGCGATGGTGGAAACTAGAGTTCGAATGGCGATGCCTAGAACATAATGGTTTGGAATTTCTGAGACTAAAGTCTGGTTTGAATACCCAGGGGTGTATCCCCGGCTTGAAATCTGTACATAGATTGAGATAGCCTGTGTGCGCCTCAATTCGGGATACTGAACGAACCTAGTCTGTCACCCCGTTGGAGAATAGGGAAAGTTGTGAATATCAGGAAGAAAAGCGGCATCCGTGGCTTCTACATGCAGATGTCGCTCCTTGTCAGTATTTCAGGACCTTTATACTGTGAGTTAAAGGTAAGAGTTCAAAGAATACAAGGTAAGAATTCAAAGAACACAAGGGGGAGATCCCTGTCAGAGTAGAGTGGTTCATTGCCATTCACCCCATGAGGTGCTTTTTAAAGCGTTGCTTTGTTTGTTTATTGCATTCCCTAAAACACCATGCACTACATTACTTGTAACATGTATCATATCATCACACTTATTGTATTTATTTGCATCTTGTGTTATCTTGTATCATTTATCTTTCACGCTGTGCAGCATTTAGGATCGTTGTCCCCCGGGGCTATCTCAGGATGCGTGGAACGCGCTCCTGATTGGTTGTTTTCGAACCTCTTCTCAAGATTTCAGCGTGGTTAGAGTGTTCTTTTCCTCACACGATTTCAGCGTGTTTGGGATTTGTTCTTTCTTCTCTCACGATTCCAGCGTGGTTGGAGTATGTCACCCTTTTGTATCTACTACACTATCTGTTACATCCATTACATCATACCATTTTATCACCTGCATCCTTTCCATGTTAAGCTTAGTTTGGCATGTGCTCATACATTTCTTTCGTTGAAGCATGGTTCTGTGATAATGTGTACGCGCATATTCCACTAAGAGAATTGTGGTTTGAGGATGTCGGCACATTTTTTGTGTTAGACGTGGTTTGTTTTGTGTCTATACCTTTTCTAGGTAAAATGTGGTTCGGCTTACCCTTTATTCACTGCATCCATTGCATGCATTACATTGTACTTTGTTTTGTTGCATTTGGCATTTAGGATCACGATCTTTCCTTAGCAGATCATTCCTCACTTATATCATACCACCCAATTACTTGTATTCTTTCTGCGAAACACATAGTTCTACATGTGCACACGCCTATTCCACTAAGGGCGTGTTTGATTCACTGGATTAGGGAGGGACAATCCACTATTTGGATTGTAATCCATTGAAGCCTCCTTATCTGCCGTTTGATTTTCTTTTTAATCCGCTGGACATGGAGTCCGGCCGGACTCCTTATCCCCCATATGGGGGATTCCACTGTCTGAGCGGGAGGGGGGGTGTGGGATAATTTTGATAGGATTATTTACTGTTAGGATTAGAGGGGTGAGATGACCATTTTGCCCTCATTATATATATTTTGCTTCCTCTGTAATTGTTGGCACAGATCATTATATGAGAAGAGGCAAAACGGCAAAACCCTAGAGGCGATTCATCTATTTTATGGCTCAATTTCATCAAATCATTCGATCTCCCATCTACACTCAGGTTTAAAACACTTTCTGCATCTTCCATTTTGTTTGGTATTTATTTATTTTATTTCAATTTGGGTTGTTATGGCTGATTTGGTTCAAATTTTATTCTCTTTGTAGTTATTTTTTTGTTTATTTCAAGTTTTTTTTTTCTCTCTTCATCAAACCAGATTTGAGGGATTTTGTTTATGTTATGCCTATTTTGGTGGGTTCTGGGTCTGTATTTGTTGTTGTTGTATTTTTCTTTTTTTGAGCCTTGAAAAAACAGCAGCAGCTCATTGTTAATTGTTAATGGTTGTTAACGGTGCTGGGTCTGTATACAAGTTTGTTGCCTTGACATTATTAGAAGTTGGAACTTATTATTTAACAAAAAACAGAGTATGTGAAGTTGTGTTTTGTTGTAATCTTTGTTGCCTTGCCATTGTTAGCACTTGGAACTTATTTAACAAAAAACAGAGCATGTGAAGGACTGATATGGTGCAGCCCTATGCTCCTCCTTAACCCATTTTGATAATTTAATCTATTAAATATATATATATATATATATATTTATTATAAAATAAGTTAAATTAATCTAATAATTACAACCATTAATAAAGATAAATGAAAAGTATGATTATAAAATATGCTATTTATTTTTTTAAACATAGCTATGGTGAAATTATTAAACTGTTTACTGTCTAGTTTGGGTTTGTTTAAGCCAAGAATGCATTGTCTAGTTTGGGTTTGTTTAAGCCAAGAATGCATTGCTCAAGCTCTGCTCAATTATTAAACATTTCTTTTTCTACATATACTAACTCACCTAATTTTGTTGTTGGAAGTTACCCCAAGATCCCAAAATTTTTTGTGTACTCCATTTTCAATCATCAATAAACTGTATCTGGGTATGGTAGGTATGAAATTTGGCTAATGCCAACTGAATCTTAAACATTGTGTTTTTGAGTTTTTTGCTTCTCAAAGCATGTTATGTTTTGTTGCAAGTTTCCAATAGTTTTCTCCAAACATAGCACCATAAATCATAGATTAGCTACCATCCTCCATTGGGTTTCTTGGAACTTTTTTTCATTGCAAGTTTCCAACAGTTTTTTTTTTTCTTCCAAACATAGCACCATAAATCATAGATTAGCTACCATCCTCCATTGGGTCTCTTGGAACTTTTTTCATTGCAAGTTAACTTTTTTCATTGCAAGTTTCCAACAGTTTCCCCCCCAAACATAGCACCATAAATCATAGATTAGCTACCATCCTCCATTGGGTCTCTTGGAACTTTTTTCATTGCAAGTTTCCAACAGTTTTTTTTTTTTTTTCCAAACATAGCACCATAAATCATAGATTAGCTACCATCCTCCATTGGGTCTCTTGGAACTTTTTTCAATGCAAATTTCTTCTTAGATTTCAGTAGTCCCCAAATTTAAATAAATGGAAAAAAAGTCAACACTCTTTGAATGTGAATGAACTCCGCGTATCTGTGTTCATGTTAGTACTGGTTTAGTTCTGTTTAGCAATGTGATCTTCATTTAAGATTATGGGTGGAGTTAACAAATACCTGAAAAAGCAGTATGAGGTGTGCTATTATTTGTTATGTAGAATAGTTTGATAATCATTGTGAACAACATTTCTGTTTGTGAGGTAAAGTGAATAAATAAATATTACTAGATGAATCACACACTCTGAAACATGTTTCAAAGGAGGCCTTGGCTTCAATTAACTTTTCCAAGTTTACCTGTCATTGGCGTGGCACGTAAAACATAGGGTCGACCCTTGCAATAATTTTCCAGTTATTTTTCTTAGTATTTGAGTTTGAGCATTTCTTTTTATTAAATTTTTTTCTTTCTTTTGATAACTTTCTATTTTAATCTCCCTTTTTCTATACACTATCTATTATATAAAGCACAAAACTTTTGAAGTTTTGTCACCTTTTTCTATATTTAAAACTTCTCTTTAAGTGAAAAGTAGCCTAGAGATGTTCCATTCTTTAAATTATTTGTAATTCTAAATGGTTTTTGTATGATAATTTATTTTGATAGATGGATGAGAATATCAATGACTTTGACGATGAGAGTAATGATGAGCTTGAATTGTACGTAGTACTGCAAGTTGTAATGCATGAGCTATTTGCCTTATGCACTGTAGCTTCTGTTGTCATTCAAGTTATCTTAAAGAAGTATTTATCTAAGTATCCACGTAATCTTATTAGAGGACCTAATCGGTTGCAAGAACAAATGGATCATATTAACCGTTTAGTAAGAGAAAGCGACATAACATGCATTGAACAACTCCGTATGGATCGTCGTTCTTTTATGACTTTGTGCAATATGATTCATACAATTGGTGGGTTAGGACCTTCAAAACATGTCACTTTAGAAGAGAAGGTGGCCTTGTTCCTCTTCATTTTGGCACAACATTTGAAAATACGAAATGTTAAGTTCAATTTCTATAGATCTGGACAGACTATCAGTCGATATGTCAATGATGTGTTAAAGGCTGTGCTACGCTTGCAAGCCAACTTACTTAGCACACCAAATCCTATTACCGAAGCAAACACAGATCCACGATGGAATTGCTTCCAGGTAAATATATTGTCCACAAATTTGGTAACTTTACATTATTTTTTTGATTTTCTTTTGTTCTCTATTTTACCCAAAACAAAAAACCATAACTATTACAATAACTATTCAACTGGTTTGTTTAGAATTGTCTTGGAGCACTTGATGGCACCTATATTAGAGTTCGTGTACCCGTGATTCATCAAGCAGGGTATAGGACAAGAAAGGGAGATGTTGCTACTAATGTTCTAGGAGTTTGCTCCCAACAAATGAATTTCATATATGTGTTGCCGGGGTAGGAAAGGTCAGCGGTCGACTCTAGGGTTTTAAGAGATGCGATCAATCGGCCTAATGGCCTAAGGATTCCAAATGGTAATTTCATGATACTTAATTCTTCCTAAGTTTGTGTATAATAATTGAGTTTAATGCATAACATTCCACACACAGGTTACTACTACCTAGTGGATACGGGCTACACAAATGGGCAAGGATTCTTAGCACCTTACCGTGGTCAGCGATACCATGTGTCTATTTGGAAAGAAGGGGCAACTCCAAGTAATTACCAAGAATATTTCAATATGAAACATGCACAAGCCAGAAATGTCATAGAAAGGTGTTTTGGATTGTTGAAAATGAGATGGGCAATACTTCGCAGTGCATCATACTACCCCATTAGAACCCAAAATCGTATTATCACAGCATGTTGCTTGTTACACAATTTCATTCGACGAGAGATGGAAGTTGACCCTATAGAGGATGACGAAGAAAATCAACCACCAATGGGAGATGATTTCATTGATACTGTTGAGACATCTAATGAATGGACTGTGTGGCGGGATACACTCGCTATGCAATTGTACAACGATTGGTTGGCTAGTGGGGGGGCTGGATGAGAATAGTTTAGTGTTTATTTTCATTACTATTGTGCTCTACTTTGATTTGTTATTAAACCATTTAAATTTTTAATGTGACATTGCTATGTATTTCTATTAATATCTGACAATGTGGATGTTGAATTATTTGATGAGGTATTTTTATTAATATTTGACAATTTATTTTATGAGTTATTAATCATTTATTGTAATGCGTATGAAATGTTGAATGATTACTTTATGCATGCATAATGAGGTATCCAGTTCTCGTAAGAAAAAGAATGATAAGGTTGATTCGTCAAAACAAAGGCGAATTTGGAGCCCACGTGAAGAGGATGCTCTAATTTCAGCATTGGTGTCCATTGTTAATGAAGGAATGAAAGTTGATAATTCTTTCAAGGCGGGCTATCTTGCAAGACTGGAAACTAAATTGGCGGATATCTTACCTGGGACAGATTTACGTGGTTGTCCCCATATTGAATAAAAAATTAAAATATGGAAGAAGCACTATAATTCTGTGTTTGGTATGCTTGCTACTAGTGGGTTTGGATGGAATGACACCGAAAAAAGAATCGATGTGGAGAGTGATAGTGTATGGGAGGCATATGTTCGGGTAAAGTTACCATGATGTAGACAATTTTTTTTTTAATTGCTACATGTTTATGTAACTACTTTTGAAATACACTTTCCTATATTAACTGGGATTAGTTGGTCATTGCAGAGGGACATTGATGCAAAACACTTGAGGAACAAAACTTTTCCATATTTTGATGAATGGATTCAAATATTTGGCAAGGACCGAGCTATAGGGGAGTTTGCTGAAGGGCCTGCTGATGCAGTTGAGGCTATGAATGCTGAGGAAGATGTGTTGTTGCATGGCCTTGCTGATAATGACACTTTTCTTGAACAAATGGGAGTAAATAGTCACACTGGTGAAGGAATGGATTATTTAAACTCAGCAACTCAGCGGCCTTGTGAGAGCTCTGCCAAAAAGAAAGACAAGAAAATATCTAGATTTGATGTTGATGTAGTTGAAGAGCTGTCTATGTTTGCTGACAAGTTGGTGGATGTCATGGGTAAAACCAATGAGAAGCTGGAATTCATTGGAAAAATGATGGGGTATTCACATGATGTCGCATCAAAACGAGCATCATTAAATGATGAACTTACAAAGTTGCCAATTACCGTAGATGAAAGGTTAGATGCTTGCGAAATCATATCCCATGATGTCCAAAAGCTTGACATGTTCTTCAACTTGACACATGATGATAGGCTGAGGTGGGTAATGAGGTTGCTAAGTAGGAATGCTCCATAACAAACTTGTGGCATGTGATGGGAATATTTGGTTTTTAGGTTATGCTCCGTAGACTTAATTGTTGCTTTTTCTATTCGTCAAGCACCATATCTTGTGGGTTAAATTATTATATCACGATTTGGTGCCTCTGACTCATCTAGTCATAGGATACTTTTGTTTTGGCTATTGAAGGCTGCTAGTTGTAGGAACAAATATTTGTACCTGCTGACATCCTTATGAACATATACCACTTTCATGTTGGTTATTGTTTTTATTTTGGTTGCTGTACACAGTTATTTGGATGATTGTTAATTGGTGTGTTGTGTGGATTTGTTGGTGTCAATATGAAGTGCTGGTGTGTTGTGTTGGATAAAAATAATTTTTGTTCATTTATTGAGTGCTGGTGTGTTGTGTTGGACATTTATGGAGTGCTGGTGTGCTGGTGTCAATATAATTTTTGTTCATTTATGAGTGCTGTTGTGTTGGATATAAGACCATGAAGTGCTGGTGTGCTGTGTTGGACAAATAATTTTTTTGTGTTGGATAAAAATTAGAAGGGACATGGTCTTATTTATATTGAAAAAATGTGACCATTAAAAAATATAAATATTGGAAAAATATATGTTTCAAACATTGAAAAAAAAATGGTGCTAAAAAAAAAAACATTGAAAAAATTAAATAATTAATTGTGGTCCACTAATCAATTATAAATAAAGATTACATTTAAAGACAAATTTAATATTGTTATTTAGTAAACAATTGAAAAAAGGGTAAAATAGTCTTTTGTTCATTTATCCTTATCTAGTCCGTCCAACCAAACGTTGGATTCACTAAAAATAGTCTTTTCCAGACATCTAATCCCATGAAAAAATAAACACAGGATACACATCCAATCCAACCAAATAGTCTGGGGGATTCACAGTCCCAAGACTCAAGTCTGATGGATTCTAATCCCCTCTTATCCAGTCCGTCCAATCAAACACACCCTAAGAGAAATGTGGTTTGCGGGTTACGACACCTTTTCTGTGTTAAACGTAGTTTGATTTTGCATCTCCATCCCTTTATGGTATTTGTGTGGTTTTGCACTGCTTGTGGTTTGATAATTTAATTACATTGCATATCATTTGCATGGTTTCGTTGCACTGTATATCATTGCATTTTTTTGGTACATTGTGTTTCGTTTTGCATTCTGTCCCTGAACTACGCTGGCTTGATTTCTTGCAAAGGGATATGTAGGCAACCCTCGGGTTCAACCAACTGCATCTGCATTTTGTTTGTTTGCCCAAGTCTTACGGCCTTGTCAAAATAGGTCGTCTCTGGGTTTTGACATTCACATACATCATTTTATGACTCTGAGCTCTGTCAAAGAGGGGCAACTGTAGACACCCCATTTTTGACCGCCCTTAAGACTTGGGGGCCTCAGGTTGATTGTTCGAGGATGAAGGCAGGATGAAGGTTATGCTGTACAAAGGTTCGATTTCTTCGGCAAGGGGAGCTCCAAATCCCAACCTTACACCCCATTTTGGACCAAATTATTTTAGACCTTAAAACCCTCTCTTTCAAAATATTTTTGAAAATGATTATACGATGTTCCGAAGCTTGCATTTCGTTAAATGTTGCACTTTTCGGTAGAGTGGAAATAAATGAAAGAGAGGTGAACTCTTTGAAAATTCTTTCAAAACACCGTATTTAGAGGTTTGGAGTTGAAGAATATTGGAGGAGAGGGAATAAACCTAGTTGGTGGAGAAGTTGGGCATGAACTGTTAAGACAAAACTGGGAAGCCTTCACTAAATCAGGTCTATCCTTTGTACACTTGGACTTAAGTTGTGAGGCCACCACCATTGGAAAGTGGACTTCCCAGGCTTCATTTCTCACTCAAGAATCTCCAAAAGCCGAGTCCGGATGAGGGAGATATGGCTGGTTGAAGTTAGGCATTAATCCGATTGAGCTGGAAATAAGAAACCTTCACTGGAAGAGGCATATCTTTTTACACACTTGAAATTTTAAAGTGAGGCTTCCATCATTGGAAAGAAGACTTACGGGGCTTCAATTTAAGCTTAAGAATGACCTACAAAGGAGTCCAGATGAAGGAGATATACCAATTTCAAGTTGGGCCTCGACCACCAATGAAAAATGTCGGCCACTGGTGAAAAAAGCTCAGATTTTGTAGATATTTTCATCCAACTGTCTCCCACAAGCTCCAGCTATCTGTTTTGTTGATATTTTCGACCTGTGTTGTCATTTTTCTATATATAGAGGCCATTCTCTATTGTTTTAAAGGTTAGAACATTTTGAAGGTTGAAGAAATTTTGGGAGCCTCTCTCTCTACAATTCTCTCTCTTTAGATTTTTCTCTCTCTTGAACTTTTGTCATATAAGTAGAGATATACTTCTAGTTTGCCTATCAACCCTTAATCGAACTTGACCATTTTTGGGCTAAGGTTACTTGAGGCCCTCTTTGAGCTCTAGAAGGTGATTTTAGCATGATTTTGGCTTGCATTGTTGCCTAAATTGTGCCTTCCCTTCATGAGGTAGAAACTTCTCTTTGCTAGCTTAATTTCTATATTTGTTTTGCCATCTTTTTACGCTGTTTTTGAGTTGCTTTTGAACTCCAAAAAACTCTGTTTTTATGGTTTAAAAATGGTGGTTTAAGGCCTTTTTGAGTTTGGAGGTAGTTCACCCTTTTGCTTCTTAGCTTGTTAAGCTTTTTGAGCTATCTTTCATCACTTTGAAATCAAACTTTTTGGGCCTTTTAACCACTGAATTTCAGAGATTTTTCAGTGGCAAAAAAATTATTTTGAAGTGCAAAATTGGAGGAGTTAACCTTCCCTTTTTGTGTCTTGTTTGCATGCCTAGTTAGCTTCATATGTTAGCATGTTTTTGTAGGTTAACTTAGCTTATTTCTAGCATGTTTTTGCCTCTGATTTGGGCTACTGTAGCTCTGTTTTGGGTTGCTTGTGTTGTATGAGTAGTCTTTTGCATGGTTGTAGTGTAATCCCATGTTTTAACTTATTGTTTTAGCTACTCTTGTCTTCATTCCAGCATGTTTTCCAACTGATTTTGGGCTTTAAAAACTCGGTATTTTTGGGCTGAAGCTTGGGTCCTAAGGCCATTAAAGGTTATGGGGTTGATAACCCTTCTTTGTACCTTGTTTTGGAGGTCTTTGCCCTTGTGTTTCCCACCCTTTTGCTATCTTTTTCCAAGCTTTTAAACACTATTTTTTAGAGCTATTTCAATGGATAAAAGCATGTTTTGAAGTCCAAAAATGGAGGAGGTAGCCTCCCCTCCTTGTGTCTTGCTTACTTGTCTAGCATGCTTCATGTTTTAGCCTATTATTCTAGCTTGTGTTAGCATAATTTTAGAATGTTTTATGCTATATGTTGGGCTGTTTTGCAACTATTTTGGGTGGTTGTTGCTTTTAAGCTTTGTTTTGTATAGTTGTGGTGCAATTTCCTTCACTAGCTTAGTGTTCCTAGGCTTTGAGCATCATTTGTGTGTCTTGGTTGCATGTTTTAATGCTTTTTATGCCTAATTCCAGCACTGAAATCTCTGCAATCTTCCTCTATTCTTCACTTTTTTCATTTGCTTTGAAAGTGATTTTAAACCATTTGCTTGTCTAAGTGTGAAATTGAGACATTCATGCTTAATGGTTTAATCTCTTCGGGGGTTCATTATCAACGGCATGAGGTCTCTTTCATGCCCAGGGCACTTGTGGTTTAAGCCCACTTTCCATTAGAGGACACTCACTTTTGGACTAATCAATTATAGTATGGATTGGTAATCTAAAATGAGTAAACAAAAATGAACAAGTAAAAGAGGCAAGATAAAGCATCTTCGTGTTGCATTGCATGTGTTCGTATCAGACGTTAATTTGAACATGAGGAAAATGGGACATTTCACACTCAAAGTGATGAAACGTGTCTCTTTCCTTGGTCACCATCACCATTGATCATGCATGATAGGGTAGTGGTTTTGTTGAGTCTTGTTTTGCATTCATTAAGCTTGTACAAGCTTAGTTCCTTAGCCATCATGCATGGAAATTGCTTGGTTGATGGTTTGAGGGCCAAGAACTACACTCCTTTAAGCTTGTGTGATGATAAGGAGGGTAGCAGTACATACACTCCTTGAGAATACACTGTTTTGCCTCTGTTTGCTCTCTGTTGCAGCAAAAAATGAAGTTCAAGGCAGGGGTAGCCAATCAGCCACCAGTAGTGGCCGATGGCCATCAGCAGTAGCCGACCAGCCACCAATGGTAGCCGACCGGCCATCAATGAAGAAAGTTGTTCAATGTGTTCCTGAGGTGGAGCAGAGGTGTTCTGGAAGTTGATGCAATTTTCATCGATCAAAGATGTGCAAACAGAGGCTGCAATGGTAAGGCGGTGGATTTTCGAGAGGAAACCAACCGAGCATGCATGTGTCTCTCGCCCCGAGGCCATTTATTTTCTTTATTCATGCAAGTGTTGTAACTATTTAATTAGCTTAGATAGTTAATTATTTAATCGTTTTAATTAGCGTAGCATAAGTTAGTTAATTCGTTTCAATTGTGTTGTAATAGTTAGCTTAATTAGCGTAGCTAGTTAGTTAGCTTATTCATTCGGACCCTCCTTCGCGAGGGCGTAATGTTGTAATAAGTTTGTGCGTGTGTGCATGTCTTCCAACCCCACGTCTTTCTCCCTTTTACTTAACCGCTTTCGATGGTTAGTTTAGGGACATTTTCAATTAGCATATCGCATGCTTGCATCCATTCACTTGTCTTGCATGCACCGAGGCTCGGCACATCATTCAAACTGCATTGTAATTTCAATACTTTGTTGAATACATGTTCAATCGCATGTTATCAAATTGAATCAATCGTATGCCATATTAGTAGTCGAGCCTATTAATTGCATTATTGCATGTGTTGCATTAGACATCTTGTATAGTTAGGAATCATGCATTATTTTCTAACTAGTTTCTGTTTTGGCTTGGAGTACTCGGTAAGTCTTTATGCTTTAGCATACTTGCATGAGTGTGATTGCCATATTGCCATGTTTCGCATGCTTTCCATGAGGCTATGTGCTTACTCGATAAATTGCATGAATGCTCGTGGATGAAGGCTTGTTGTTTGAATTGGAACGACTCAACAAATGTATGTTTTAAGCCCACTTTATTATGGAAAATCAAATTTTAAGTCCACTTGAGGTGGCAAATCCGCATCCTTTAAGCCCACTTGAGGGTGGCAAACTCAAACCATTTTCACAAACAAACATGACTTGAAATGTTCCAATTCTTGCGACTAGTCTATACTTGCTTGTGCGCATCACATAGTATAGTTAGCTAATAACCGGAATAAGAACGCATAATGTTTATAAAATATCATATCATGGTTAGTAGAGGCTGCTCCGTTGATCGGGCGAGCGGGGTTTCTCAATTCGTGACCTTTCCCCTCCGTACCCAAGTTCCCGAGCCGAGGCAACTTTAGTGATGATGGACACATGGCCTTTGGCACGAGTCAGGGTTTCCTAAATATTCCCAAAATAAAATATTTAGGTTGGCGACTCTGTATTTGACAAAGTAGTCCAATTTTGGTATTATTTGATTTAAAATCGATTTTCCAAAATGATTTGTCGGATTCAACTCTGTGGTGTTTATCAATTTCATATTGCACTTGTGAGACTAGATTCAGAACCGCGGGAGTCTCAACTGTGAGGCATTCTTTTCAAACCCTTTCTGAAAGGCAGGGGCGCGGAAAAAGGCGATTCCACACTATTGTAGCACCAACGAGGTACATTCATTTTAAAATGGTTGTTATTTCTACGCTAACAAGAGCAAAATACTTTCAAATGTTTTACACATTTACAAAAAAATTGAATGTAATAATACATACAACAAGTTGAAATTGACATTATTTCTTCACATAAAAATTTTACCCATGGCCAACATGATTTTGCCACATAGCAGTAGCAATTTCATCCCGGATGTTCGATTGGTACGTCAACCCATGTTGTGACATGTCAACATAGTCAGCTTCGCCTCCAACAAACCCATCTAGTGTTGCTGCAGCCGCCATTTCATTATCAGCTTCCATGAAGAATGAGGCTAGAGTTGCATGCAAACGGATCCAATTGTGCACTACACAACATGCAATGACGAGGGGTCCTTGTCTTGTGGACTTGTAATTTGGCATGGACTGTAATATTGGCAAGCGCTTCTTCAGAACACCAAATGTTCTTTCTATGACATTGCATAACGACGAATGTCGACGGTTAAACAATTCCTTGGGTCCAGAATAATGACAGTCATGAAACTCTTGCAAGTGATAGCGTTGGGAACGAAATGGGGCAAGAAATCTAGACATGTTTGCGAAGCTGGCATATACTAAATAATACTTGCCTACATGCAAATAATGTGGGCAATGCTCTGTCAAATACATGTGCAGGAAAATAAACATTTAAGACTAAACAGGTAGTTATTTGGTGACACTCACCATGGGGTGGGTGTTGGAAATGTAGATCAACTCTTGTACTTGAGTCAACTAAAATTGTGTTGTCGTGGGCACTACCTTCCCATCTAGAATTGATAAATGTGAACAACATGTCGAAGTCACAAAGCTACGAGTACATTTTGTGATACAGTAGCTTTGCGACCACGGGATGTATTCTGTCGTGAGGCTGGGACCTACGCATCCACCAATGTGCCATTGATAGCATCAACACAATACTATTTGAAATAAATTAGTTTGACATAAACGCAAAACAAACCTAGATATTATTTGTAAAACATTAAAAAAAATAATAAAAACATTTAATTCGTTACTGTTATTGAAAACTTACAACACAAACATGTAGTCATACCTTGAACCAAGGAAAAAATCTCCTATCATTTAAAATTTTTGCCGGTATCTCATCTTGATTAAGTGGTTTGATAACCGTTGATGCAATGCATAATGATTTTGATGTCCCAACAAATAGTTTCAGTGGAGTCTCGTTCCTCCCGGGGCGTTCGGGGACGTCTACACCTACGCATCCACCAATGTGCCATCGATAGCATCAACACAATCCTATTTGAAATAAATTAGTTTGACATAAACGCGAAACAAACCTATATATTATTTGTAAAACATGAAAAAAATAAAAAAAACATTTAATTCGTTACTGTTATTGAAAACTTACAACACAAACATGTAGTCATACCTTGAACCAAGGAAAAAATCTCCTATCATTTAAAATTTTTGCCGGTATCTCATCTTGATTAAGTGGTTTGATAACCGTTGATGCAATGCATAATGATTTTGATGTCCCAACAAATAGTTTCAGTGGAGTGTTGAAATCTATCGGCTAGTAATCTATGCCAGTCATTTTGTGCAAAAGTGTACAAAAAAATGTCAAGCGATTCCTCGACACTGATATGCATATGTTTAGTTTCGACTAAGCCATTTTGAAGTATGGTGTCCTTCAATAAAATGAATGTTTGGGCATCCATTCGCATGATGTCCATCATTGTTTCTGGATGGCCAGTTAATAAACTAAAGATGTAGTCATCACCTCTGAATGGACAAGTTCGTTGCGGTCGTCAACTGGTTGACGCATTGATATGCTCATTCATAAAAGCAATCATGAAAAAGTCTATAAAATCTTCAATGACCTCATCCTCCTCTAATGACATCTCCATTGCATTGTTTTCTGTGTCAAATGACATATTGTTTCGGCTACATGACAATAACGCATAAGTATTAAAAAATTATTAACAACATGCTAAGTATTACTATTATTGGTGAAATTAAAATAAACCACTGCCTACAATCTGTTAGCCTTACTTATTTATCGAAGTAGATGGAAACGTACATGCCAAGTAAAAACATGTTAATATTTAGTCTAATTGTCATTACTATCTTTTCATATTGTATGTTCTGTGTAAAATTGAAAGTCGAAGCAGAAATAAGAAAACAGACATCATCAAATATTAATATGTAAAACAGAAACAATTTTAAAAATTATAGAAATAAACAGAGAAAGACAGAAAAAAAGAGAGCATGTCATCAGGTGAAAAATAAAATTAATAAGAACAACATAGACATCATCAAAGCATGTTGGACAACAACAACGAGAACCACAAGCTCGATCAAGCCACAACTTCTCCATTCACTGCAAAGCTAGAATTATAGCTAGGCGCATATGGGCAGGAGTATGCATAAAAAACCTTCGCCATTCCTTGTCTTTGAATAGTGTCAGTGCTCTAATGTACTGGACCGGTGGTATGTCCCCAAGCTCTAACAGGGCATCTTGACATGCATCAAGAGAATAGTCATCACCACCTACACTTACAGCCTCTGTGTCTGTTGATCGGGCACGAGAATGTTCCGTTTTTGCCTGTACATAGGTAGTGAAAGCTATGCATACATCATCAATGCCACTTGGCCGTGACCTTTTAGAACGACCACTATTAGTCTGGCTAGTTGTAGGGTCCCTCTTGTGACTTTTGCCCTTTGATGGTTCTATGTACTCATCACCGAATAAGTCAACAGTAATAAGTTCGGCCGCATTACTCCCACCAGCTCCAAGAGACCAAAATTTATTAAGCATTTCATCCTCTTCATCAGAGTCAGAAGCTCCTTGTGTGGATGCATGGGCCAAGGCCCCTGTGGCATAACAGTTTTCAACAATTTCGGTCATTTCTTAAAAATACTCAAATCCTTTTGTCCTAAATTTCTTAACATTTTTTGTTGCCTACAGCAAGTGAACATATTAAAAATAAGCGTTCTGTATATGCTATAAAATGTTACAAAAAAAATTGAAAAGGGTATAGGTTAATTCGATAACATATCCTAAAATTCATCGGGTGCAACAACCATTCCTACAATGGGATCCCATCCCAGATCGGTCTGTGCTTGCAATCGCTTGAAGGTTTGGTAATCAGCTTTCAGTTGTTGATATTTTTGTCTTACCTGTTTTGGTGTGTATTGAAACCCATAAAATTTTGTAACTCAGTTGCAAAATGAGTCCAATGCCTAATTGTCCACACAGTACTACGACCTGTTGTTTGATTTTTATGTACCTCAACTTTCAACATGTTGATTAGCTTCATTTCTATTCTGGAACTCCACATTCGTGTGTCTTGATTGTCATCAAAATTGTTGCCATCCATCTAACAATACACAATTTATATCTAAACTAATCTGAATTGGATATTAAAAAATAAATGCAAGAATCAATTCCAATTATGTTTTCGTAGGAAAGAAAGTGCATCAGTTGAAGTTGTTAATAGTGTTGGGAAAAATAGATACAAGAGGAAAAGCAGAAAAAAAAGAATAATATTGGTAGGAAAAAAATATATATCAATTCAAGTATTAACAGTGTTATATAACAGGAAAAAGCATAATATAATATGCAAAAAGTTTATGAGAGAAGTGTATACAGTAGAGTCGGAAGTCCGGTGGGATGACCGGCCAGTTGTCCTGGCGGTTGACCTATTTGATAGAACATTTCTCCTCTCAGCTATTACATACCAGATCGAGTAAAGGACTGAATGGCTAGCAGATCCATTGAAGGATATATGAAGGATTGAACGATATACGACTAGCAGATCTACACAAGGATATACATACCAGAGAAGTAGGAGTGGAATAGTTGTCCCCGATGACTGAGTGGGTACAGTGGGTGGATGTGCGATTCATCGGTATGCGTCTGATTGGAGAATACGTTTCACAAATTTGGCCTGACACACATAAATTGGGAATGAATTTGGGGAATTTTGAGGAAATCAATGAGTTGTAATTTAAAATTTGAAAGAAATTTATGATGTAGTTATCCTCGGTCTTGTCGTTGTTTCGTTGCTTGGAGAGTGAATCATCCACAACGCACAAACTGCAACTTACTTGATTTGTGGGAGCTGTTAAATGCGATTATGGGTGGAGAGGGGGTTCATAGACATACTTTATATTCGAAGGTCTCAGTTCACAGAGCAACTTGGCTGTAGACTTGACTTTCTTCGCGCGCTCCCCTTTTGGAGAGGCGCGAATTGGTCTCCTACAGTTGGGACTCCCGTCACGGTTCTGAATCTAATCTCACAAAGCACAATGTGAGACTGATAAACACCAAAGAGTCCAATCCGGAAAATCGTTTTGGAAAATCAGATTTTTAAATCAAATAATGCCAAACTGGACTGCTTTGCTAGATTACAGAGTCGCCATCTAAATATTTTATTTTGGAAAATTTAAGAAACCCTGACTCGTGCCAAAGGCCATGTGTCCGTCATCACCAAAGTTGCCTCGGCTCGGGAACTTGGGTACAAGAGGGGAAGGTCCTGAAATGAGCACCCCCGCTCGCCCGATCAAAGGATCGGCCTCTACTAAGCATGATATGCTGTTTTACAGACACATGTGTTCTTATTTCGGTTATTAGCAAACTTTACTATATGGCGCAAACATACAAGTATAGACTAAATCGCAAAAAATTGGAACAAAGCAACTCACGTTTGTTTTCGAAAATGGTTTGAAAGTGCCACCCTCAAGTGGGCTAAAACGCGGATTTGCCATCAAACATGATGGGCTTGAAACATGATTTTGCCACTTCGCAAAGTGGGCTTAAAACTCACATTTGATGAATTGTTCCAATTCAAGTAATAAAGCCTTCATCCACAGGCATTCATGCAGTTAATCACTTAAGCAAATAGCCTCATGGCAAGCATGCGAAACATGGCATCACTCACACTCATGCAAGTATGCCAAAGTGTAAAACTTACAGTGTACTCCGAGCCAAAACAAAAGCTAGTTAGAAATCATGCATGATCCTAACTATACCAGATGCCTAATGCAAGACATACAAAAAAGCAACTAAGTAGGCTCGGCTATCTAAGATGGCATATGAATGTAATTTGATAACATGCTTTGAAACACGTATTCAAATAGGTATTGAAATACGATGCAGTTTGAATGATGCGCCGAGCCCGGTGCATGCAATACAAATGAATGATGCAAACATGCAAGCATAAGGTATGCTAATTGAAAATGATCCCTAATCTAACCATCGAAAGTGGATAAATAAAAGGGAGAAAGACGTGGGGTTGGAAGACATGCACACACACACGCACACTTATTACAACATTGCGCCCTCTCGAAGGAGGGTCCGAATAAATAAGCTAAGCTACACTAAGCTAAGCTAATTATTACATAATGAAACTAATTAACTATTCTAGCTAATTAATTACAAACCACTTGAATAACTAACTATGCTACGCTAATTAAAATATTACAAAACAGATTAAACTAATTAATTACAAAACATGTAAATAATCAACTACAACTAGCTAATAAAGAAATGAAGTGGCCTCGCGGGCGAGGGAGACATGCATGCTCGGCTG